CTGCTACTAGACCAAGTCTCTAACTTGTTATATTTATCCCAAAAATTAATATAAACACACTTTAAGTAAGTTATCCTATATATATTTATTTATTTAGTTTAAATTTTTGTTGGGGTCATTACAGTTGTGCTCTATTAATATGGTTTTATAATTATTTTAATTATCCCTTTTATATTCATGTGTTTAAAAATGTTAAGAATTAAGTGGGGAATATTTATTTATTTACGAGGGAGGACTTGACTCAGAATCCAACTCTGAGGCCTACATACCCTGTGATGGTGATCAAAGTCCATATAGTTCGGGCTTGAAAGTTGTTGGTGAAAATATTTTTGAAGAGAAATTAATTAAAAATAATTCACCATTTTGCAAGTAAAACAATTTCTAAAATTTTGATATATATTTTAGATTGCAAAAAGTGATTTAGTTTTAACTATTTTCTCAATTTTTGAATTTTTGGAATAAAGAAAGAAAAGAGTTTAAGATTATTATTTTTTATATTTTATGATTGAAAATTTTAACTGCTATACCTATAAAGCCTTATTAGTTCATACGGTAATGCAATTGTTCTAAATATCTGTGGAGATTCCAAAATCTCACACGATAAAAGAATTTAGTAATTTAATTTATTTATATTTTTAAGTGTTAGTAATAATTTGTTTAAATATGTATGTATCTATTTTTTAAAGAATTATAATCATCATACCTGCAAAGCTTTATTGGCTTATATGATAATATGATTATCCTAAATATCTGCAGAGATTTTAAAATCTCAGATGATGAAAGAATTAAATTTATTTGATTGATTTAATATATAATTTATATATATATATATATTGAAAAACTTAATCGTCATATTTGCAGGGTCTTATTGACTCATACAATAATACAATTATCCTAAAAGTCTATGAAAATTCAAAAATCTCACATGACTAAAAGATATAATCGGTAAATGTGATTACAACTTAAATTCATTAATTTGATTAATTTTTCTAAATTGTGTATTATATGATTTTTTTTAAAAAAATCATTTATTTATTATAAAAATTGAAAATCAATACATTTGTGAGGACTTATTATTCCACACGATGATGTGATTAATTTAAGTCTCTACGAAGATTCTTTGAAATCTCACTGGGGACTTAAATAAATTATTAATTTTGATTATAAAAAGAGAGTTAATTTTATGATGGGCCTTTAGAACCCACATTAACATATAAGTTTTACTCTCATATCTGCAAAACCTTATTGATTTACACGATACGAGATTATCCTAAATATCTGCAGAGATTCAAAGTCTCACACGATAAAAAGAATTAAATAATATTCACTTTAAATATATTTTAATGTGTAATTATATTACACATATTTTTAAATATAGAAATCTTAATCGTTATACCTGTGAAGCCTTATTGACTCTCACAGTAGCATGATTATCCTCAAAGTCTATAGAGTTTCAAAAATCTCACATGACCAAAAGATCTAATTAGACAATATGATTATAATTTAAATTTATTAATTTAATCAATTAATGATATAAAAAATGTTTATTATTTTTTTACAACATTTATTTATTTATTTACCATATAAATTGTGAATCACGATATCTGTGATGATTTATTATACTACACGATAAGGTAATTAATTTTAGCATCTGCGGAGATTCTTTAAATCTCACACGATACCGTTAAATATTTTATTGATTTAAATTATAAAAAGAGAGTTAATTTAATGGTGCGCTATTAGAACCCGTATTTAATATACAAATTGGATCTTCATATCCGCGAAATCTTATTGATTTACACGATATGAGATCATTCTCAGTGCCTATGGAGATTCTTAAAATGTCACACAACAAACTCTAAAAATTGCTATTTGTGTTTAGCATCTGAGCATAAAAGAGTATACATGCTTGAGGATCATTCATTTAAATATAAAATTCACAAAAGCTATTAATAGGGAGTACACCATTTTCTCTCGTGATTAAGCCACGTAACCTTAAACGCTTGGCTTAATGCTTCAATGATATTCAAGAGGAAGTAACATTAAATAATATGATGCAGCAATGTTATTTCATTAAAATGGGAAAACCAAACACGTAAATCATGTAGCAATCACAATGCTATTCTCACAGTGCTATCATGTAAATCATGAACTAAAAAAAATAAGATCCTAACTAATAAAAGATTATTTAGGTTAAAAAAACCTATTAATTAAAGATTTTTTTAATCTTGAAAATATAATCTAAAAAGGATTAAATTTTGTTTTTATATTTTTTATATTTTTGGTTGATTTTATCATTATTTTTATTAAATGTAAAATATGCATACAGTGTTCTCAACTTACAAACACTTATGATTCAAGAAACTAGAGAATCGGGCAAATAATGAATAGGAAAGCATGGGAGAAGGATTTACATATTCTAATATCGCTACATGATCAGAATCCCTACAACAGTGTAGATAAGATAATCAATCAATGAAACATTTACCATTTTTGAATGCCACTAATTGTGGTAAAGACCCTAATCTTCACTCTTCCTTACCTGAACATACCTTAGACCTTCTCAGACGCTCACCTTCAACTCTTAATCGCTTATCTCTGGCTTCCTCGAATCTTTAATCCCCCCTCCATATTATCAACCGTCCTAGAATGCTTCCCGCTACCCTTGTGAGAACTAACATCAACACCCATAACTCCTTTCTACACTGTTGAGACGTCAAGAGAACAACATTGGTGAAGCCACCAAATAAATTGCAGCCATAGCATCAATGTTGTTGCTGCTGCAGAGGAACAAGCCTCTCTTTCCAGTAGAGCGGTGAGATTGCCCTCTGAGCTCTTTGCTAATGGTGACCTTTGAAATTTGCACGATACTCGAGGGGTAGGAGAGTGAGAGTTCTCACAGAGGATAAATCGCAGCAAAAGTATAGATTCAGCCTTCTCCTTTAATCACACTGCGTCCTTTGTCTGATAAGCCACCACCAGCCTCTGGTTTCCTTCTCAGGCTCTCCAACCCATCTACATGATAATCACGATCACAAGAACTTCTTTCATGTCTATCATAGTTCGACTATGACCGAGGGAGAGATGGGAGATGTGTGCATGCATGCTCTGTTTCTGCGTTTTCTTCTTTTCTATGAGTGTGCTCTATTTTTTCTTTTGTTTTTCTCTCCTCCTCCCAGCAAAAATCTAGTCTCTCTCTTCTCTATTTTTCTGACATTTTCTTGTCAATTTTTCTCTTCTCTGTGCCTCTCCTCTCCAGGTTTTTTGTCTTCTTCTTTTTTGGTTTTTCTTCCCTCTTGTATGCTCTACTTTTTTTTTCTCTCGGTCTCCCTCATTCTCAATCTCCTTCCTCCAGTTTTCCTCCCATTTTTCTTCTTATTCTCCCCTCTTTTAATCTTTACGTGAGAGATCCCTTTATTGTTGAAGCTCAGGCTCTTCCTCTTGTCGTGCACGTCTTCTCTATTTCTTTCTCCTTTTCTCTATTTTTGCTCTCTAGTTTTTTCTACTCGCGTGCGTGCGTGTCTTTGCATGGCTATCTTTTCTGTGCTGTTTTTGCTTCTTTTCTGCATTTTTTCTCTGTGTGTATCAGCTAGCGTGTCTGGTTCTTCTGCACCTGCGGTGTTCTTTTAAAGCTGCTTTCTTTCTGTGTCTTTCATGTGTGCATGTTACTGTGTCTAGCTCAAAGCATTTTTCGTGGCTGTATGGCTATCTTTTTTGCGCAGGTGTTGCTCTCTCTGGCGTTCTCAGTTGCTCGTGTTTCTGCAAAAAGCCACTAAAGCTGTGGTGAAACGCTGATGGATCAGCGTTTCATCCAGCCTCTTTTTTATTATTATTTTTTTTCTTCTAAATTTTTTTAGTAGATTAACACACACACACATGTATATATATTTTTTTTAAATAAAAAATAAGATTTAAGGAGAGAAATTTAACTCTCAACAGTTGACTCCCAATATTTTTGAATGATTGGGACAATTTGGAGAGAAATTTTAAAAGATTTAAATAAGATTTTTTTATTTTGTTAAAATATAATCCTAAAAAGGATTAAATTTTATTTTTGTATTTTTATATTTTTTAATTATTTTAATGAACTAAAAGAAATAAAATCCTAACCAAAAAAGATTAGCTAAAATAAAATTAAGCCCTATCAATTAAATTAAATTTTTTTGTTTTGAAAATATAGTCCTAAAAAGGATTAAATTTTATTTTTATATTTTTATATTTTTTTAGTTATTTATTATTATTTTTATTAAATTAAAAAAATCCGGACAAAATACAATGTTCACAAGGTTCATCTTGTTAAACCTAGCCAAGAATAGGCATTGAGAAACAATTTTTTATTCACATTTACAGAATTCAAAAGCCATATGCATCTGCTAAAGAAGCTAGTAGTATTAGATTCCAAAAATTGTGAAACTATAAGAGAAAATGTATGCCCTTGGAAAGCAAGTTTAACAACTACAATAATATCTCAGATTCAGAGGATTTGCTACCAAATCCCCTAATAGAAATAAGGTAGACTGAGATTTTACTATGCAATCCTAAAGGAGGAAATTTATGGCTTCAAATATGAGGAGGAGAACAGAAACATCAATGAAAGCAAATGAAGATAGACATAGTAAAATAATGATTGAAAGCCATATGAATTCACAACTAATCACAATAAATGATGTTAAAAATCTAGATGAAATCACAGTGAATACCATCAAAATCATGATGGCAAGCTAGAGGCTAAAAATGTGTGCTTAAATCATGATGAAATATAGAAGAAATTCTTGCCGGAAACACCTACCCTAATTATTGGAAATCCACTACCCTAGTCACCAAAAATACCACAAAAGACACTGGAAATCACCTCATAACTAATTTTGATCCCTGAAAAGGTTCGAACAGGTGTTCAAGGTTTAGGTTTGTGGACAAAAAAGTAAATGCAAGTCATTAAGAGGATACCTTTCAAATCACCAAAAAACGTTGCTCAAGTCACCACAAATCACTTCAAAAGATATCTGAAAACACCTCTAGGAAGAAATACCACACCAAAACTCATCTGGTTAAGATGGAAGAAAAATGCTTCTGCCGACGAAGAAAAAATTTGCCAGGGTTCACCTCTAGACATTTTTAATGCCCTTGCCTGCCCACCCTTTCCAATTACAGGCATTTGTCGGGCATGGATGGGTATTGAGCTCAACTTTACTCCTGAAGGGGGTTTAGGGTTGGGAAATAGGCAGCTACCCTACGTGGCCTAACCCCGCCCTTGTACAGCCCTATTTTTGTGGCCAATTCCTCTTACTTCTGTCTATATATGCAAACATGTGGATATGATTTCTCTTTCTTGGTTGATTTTTTGTGTGCTTGATTCTCCATTAGGTTTTTCTAGAAATGTATGGCGAGGGTTTAGATTATTTTTGATGAATTTATGTTTCACATCATTAGTTCCAGTTAAGTTGATTTATAGCAACCACTTTACTTGGTGAATTATTTGGTGTGGATTATCGTGATTCACTGGTAATTTGATGGCATATTATTTTAACCCACCAAAATTTTTAAGGGGTGCTTGGTCAAGGTGTACTTGGTTTATAAGTTGTATACTATGTTTGGGGAAACTCCTATTTCACTATGGCTTTGCCTAACTGAACTAGCAAATTTTCAAAGAAGCTGCTCTTATCACGATAAGAAAGTTGAGTTGTATGAAATATACTGATAGAGCTCCATTACAGTCTTTTACTTGACTTGCGACCACTTTTGAGCATATATGCCCATAATTTTCTCTTACCATTGTTTATAAGGAACCACCCATGGAGGCCTACTATAGTAGGAAATTTTTGTTTGTCAATCTTATATATAAGTGTGGTGACTTTAATATGATGTCCTAATATCATGGTCTACTTTAGATGCAATGTTACACAGTATCAATAATTAATTGGTGACTTTTTACTGCTTTTTTTGACTTTAGTGGTTTTGTTGGTTTGATTTCAAATACCCAAAAGAAAGACAATGGCAAAGAAGAAGAATCCCCTAGTTTTTTTGGATGTCTGTATAGGAGGGGGCCATTATGAAAGGATGGTTTTTGAGGTACTTTTTTGTTTTTAATACTTTAGAATTAAAATGATTGTCACGATCCAGGATGAAGTCTATTTTTTTAAAAATTTTTGCAACTTTGACTACGAGAGTAAAAATGCAACCTAATGAATTCTTTGGTGCTCACAGCTATTCTTTGACATTGCCCCCTTCACTGCAAAAAATTTTCGTTTGTTGTGTACAGGTAATAATTTGATTTTCTTATAACCCCCAAGTAAAATGCTCCTGAACTGCAATTGCAGTCTCACTTATTGAATAAGCCCTTGGACGTGCTAATTTATTTTGATTTTATGGTTTATGATTGGCTTCCCCATTTCTCATCTAATTCTTCTCTTTGTTCAGGAGAAAAGGTTGAGATTGGAGAAAGTAATTGAGCACAGGTTGAGATTGGAGACAAGTATTTCTGAGAATCAATTTAGTTTTTATGCCAGGTAGATCAACTACAGAGGCGATTTATCTACTAAGGGGATTAATGGAAAAGTATCGTTTTAAAAATAAAGATCTACACATGGTTTTTATTGATTTGAAAAAAGCTTATAACCGTATACCAAGAGAAGTGCTTTGGAAAGCGTTAGAAAAAGAGGAAGTACGGATTGCTTATATTAAAGCCATACAAGATATGTATGAGGGGGTAAAAACTAGTATAAGAACGCCTAGTGGTCAAACAAAGGATTTTTTTATAAAGATTGGACTACATCAGGGATCATCTCTGAGTCCTTATTTGTTCAACTTGATTTTAAATGTTTTGACGGAACATATTCAAGAGGAAATCCTGAAATGTATGCTTTTCGCGGATGATATAGTTCTTATAGCAGAGACAAGAGAAGAGGTTAATTGCAAACTTGAGTTATGGAGGAGGACATTGGAGTCGAAAGGTTTTCGTCTGAGTAGAAGTAAGACGGAATATTTATATTGTAAATTTGATAAAGGACTATTCGACAATAATTTGGAAGTGAAATTGGGAGATCAAATTATACCTCAAGTGGAAAAGTTTAGATATTTGGGAGCCATTATTCAAAATGATGGCGAAATCAGTGGAGATATTTCACATAGAATTCAAGCTGGGTGGTTTAATTGGAGAAAAGCCAAAGGAGTTATTTGTGACAGTAATGTGCCTAATAAACTTAAAGGAAAGTTTTATCGCACTGTTATCAGACCGGCAATATTATATAGTAGTGAATGCTGGGCTCTAATGGGACAGTAAGAGCATAAAGTTGGAGTAGCAGAGATGAGAATGTTACGATGGATGTGCGGACATACACGTAAAGATAAAATTCGAAATGAGCACGTACACGAAAAAGTAAGGGTAGCACCTATTGAGGAAAAAATGGTAGAAAATCGGTTAAGATGGTTTGGGCATGTACAAAGAAGACCAAGGGAGGCACCAGTGAGAAGAGTGGAACATATAACTTTGAGTCCGATTAAGAGAGGTAGAGGAAGGCCTAAGAGAACACTCTTGGAAGTTGTTAAATGCGATCTCTTAATTAATAATATTCCTAAAAGTTTGATAAATGATAGAGCACAATGGCGTCTTGCAATCCATGTAGCCGATCCCACCTAGTGGGATAAAGGTTTGTTGTTGTTGTTGTTGTTGTTGTTGTTCAGGAGAAAAGGGAAGCAGTCCAAAAACTAAAATGCCTCTGTATTACAAAGACGCTTACTTTCATGAGGTTAAGGACGGTGGCTCCTATGTGAAGGTATTTAATGATAGTTTTGGGCTTGTACTTGCTAAGTTGTCGATCTTATAATGCTAATTAGTGTTTGCAGTGTCTGAAACTGTTTTGTATGCAATGCACCATCAAGACTAGTTACTGATGGCTGGTTTTCTTTTTGTAGGGAGGTGCTTTTTGCTATAAAACGGGTATGTTTTCTATTGATTCATTGACCTTAGGATGGCACGCTTGACTAGTTTTTGAAGCTTGTAATTTGATAAATACGTTTATTCATTTTCATGTTTTTGATCCATGTCATTTTTCGTAAGATCATCTTTAGTCATCACATGAAGCAATTATTATTACTTTAACTAATTATTACTAATCACTAATTAAATGGAAGTAGATTCATTTCTTTTTTGTTCTTCGCATGGAATTTGAAGAATGAACCATGATGTTCTCATATATTTAGATGTTAATATATTGATTTTAAGTAAATTTTGTATCCTCTGTCTTGAAATTATTTGGGTCGCTAAAAGTAGGATTAGATTAAGCCTAGCAATTGAGGATGTTAACTAGATCATTTTTTTTTCATTTAAAAATGTTATGACTTAGGATGGATTTCTAAGTTTGTTAACTAGCAATTGATGTTATCTGTTTAGAAATCCTAAGTTTAACCGGCCACTACTGTTGATATTTATACATATCAGTGTATATGTAAATTTTCAACTTATATAAAATACTTTTTTACTTGTATATAAATTCTTCTGTGAAGGATCCTCTCAATACTGTATAATGTTGTTGAGTACTTTAGACCAAGCAGTTCTTCATAATTACAATGTTAATTGCAATTATAAGTTTCATCTGGTATTATGCCCAGTTTGCTATAATTTTTAATCATTTTTAATCTTTTTGTAGGGGATGGTGGAGAAAGTGTATATGGTCCCCATTTCCCAGGTGAGATTGTTGGATCCTGAATTCCTATGTTTAAAAAGCTTTCAAAATATCTTTGTCTATTTATTTTAACGAACTGAGTTTTTACATTGGTATTGTGATCTATTTCAATTGAGTCATTTACGCTTAAGCGTGTATGACATAGTGAACTCCTATGTGCATGTGTCGCAGTAGAATTTCACAGCTGCGCTCCCAAATGGATTAAAGTCGACGGATCAGATCGAAGGTGGTGAGGCATTGGGCTCGGATGATGGGAAGGCCCAAACGTCAACTGGTCTCAGACGCAGCCTTCGGATCAAACATCAGGCCGAGGCACTGAGTGGAAAGGGTATGCTATGAATAAATTGGAATGTTCTCTCATTATTCTCTCTCTTCCCTGTGGCAGATCTTCTGCCATTGACTTCCTTTCTGTAATGTAATGCTGTAGCCTGTAGGAGCCTATCGAGTTGTAATGATTGCATGGTTAGTGGAGTAAGCAACCCAATGCCTGATTGGTTTTTATTTTTTTAAAAACTGTTTTCTATTTTTAAAAGTAAAAATTAATTTAGATTTATTTGGATAAGTGTTTTGATTTTAGTTGTTTTTAAAATTATTCTAATTTTTTAAAAAATATTTTAAAATTATTTTCATTTTTTTAATTTTTTATTGAAAAAAGTTAGTTTATCCAATTTCTATAATAAATATCAAATATTAATCATTTGAAACAAATATTCCCTTTATTAAAAAATATAAAATATTTTTAATTAATTTTATCTTTTAATAAAGCAGTTATTTATTTTTCAACTAATTATATCTTTTTATATTTATTTTTATTAAATAACCTATAATAAATATAAAATTATTATCAATGGAAGTATTTTTTTAACAAAAGATAATGATTATATTTTGAAAGATTAAAAATATTTTATATTTTTTAATATTTAACTTTTTAAAAATGCATTAATTTTTTAAGGGAGGGTGTAATTATCTTTATTAGTCTATTTTTTTAATTTTTAAATTAATATAATCAAATATACTTTTGTTTTATTTTGTTTTGAAAACAATCTCCTCTACTTGTCTTCTCGAAGCTTGATCACTCTTGTCCATAAACATTAATGTGGGGAGAGCTTATTCTATTTGCCATTAAGAAATATATATATATATATATATATATATGAGATCGTCCTTCGTTGACCACCTGTTATAATCAATAATTCAATATTTCAAATGGATTGAAAATGACAATACAAGTGTCTCCGGGACTTTCAAATTAATGGCAATGCACTGATGTTGACCTGCATTCGCATTTCATCATTATCCTTTAGTTTAGTTTTACTATTGTGTGTGTTTGTGTATGAATAAAAAATATAAAAACTGAATGTCGCCGAAAGCAATATAAATGCTCCTATTAGATTGGAAGATCGTTTTAAATAAAAATTATTTAGTTAATCAAGATTAGATAAATTAATCATAAACAATTTTGTATTTTTAACTCATATAAAGAAATATGATCCATCTATATGGAATACTAACTTTACGACTCAAATCTACTTGAAATAAAAATTTCCTATAAAAACAAAATCTGAACTCAAATGTAAAACTTTAAATATAGGGAGAATTTTAAATAAGGATTAGGGATATAATAACATAATTGCCTGTAGGTCTCAAAAAATCTTAAAATTTTAGTTTAACCCAAGGGGATAAAAGTAAAAATAATTTTAATTGTAAAAAGATTAAAGTACTTGTTACTTTTATGAAAAATTATTAGTTAATTTTTTTATTTCACTTATTAATTTATCAATATCACTTGTAAATTATATTTATTTATCAATAAGTAGTAACATTAGTTATTAATTTACTAACTTATTAATTTACTAACATCAATTATAAATTACAATTTACATATGATGTTGGTAAATTAATAAGTAAAGTTAGCAATTTAACAATTGATATTACTGCTTATGATTGAACAACTAATGTAAATTTTTATATAGTTATTGATATGTGAACTCATGTAATTTACAACTCATATTAGTAAATTAACAAGTGAAGTAAGAAATTAATAATTAGTGATTTTACTTAATAAGTGAAGGCTACTTTGATCGTTTCATAGTTAAAATTATTTTTATTTTTATTTCCCAGACTAAATTGAAATTTCAAATTTTTTTAAAATCATTGATAATTATGTTACATCGTTGGTTCTTATTTAGAATTCTCCCTTATTTAATAATTATTTTACTACTTTATTGGCCATATTTTGGTTCTCGTCATGAATCATGATAACCCTGTGGCTTGCTCAAATCCGTGACATGATAAAAGCAAGATGCCTATATTATGTAAAAGATATTTTCATTCAATTACTCTAAAAAGTCATCTGACACAAACATAGTCCAAAACGAGTATGTATAGAACAGGCGATGAAAGCGTTTTTTTTTTTTTTAATATAAGGCCACAAGAAACCGTGCGGGAATGGTACAAATCATATCATATCAGATTTCACGTGAGATCTGCATCCCAGCAACGGATGATTAAAAATAATGAAATCTAAATTATCTTGAGAGGTCTAGCGAGCAAGAAAATCGGTGCAACTGTTCGCTTTTCTAAACGTGTGGTCGAAGGTAATGATCCAATCTCTCATGACAAGGTCTGTGATTTTATTGATAGTTCTAGAGAGAGGATGATTGTTAGAAAGATTATGCTGAATGAGTGAGAGGGCTTTCATAGAGTCAGAATGTAAGTTGATATTAGAAGGTATTTAGAAAATCCTTTAATCGAGTTATCTTTATCATCACATATGATATAATTACACCACTGGATGCAACTTCATTAGAACCGGCAGCTCCATTGAAACTGATGGAAGTGTTTTCACTTTTCATTTGTGCGCGTGTGGGTGGGGGTGTGTGTATAGTGCCCAAATAACGTCAATACTCTTTAAGAGGTTGGATTGTATTTACCTGATTGTGGATTCATTATATATGGCGTATGTAGATAATAAATACACCTAACTTGCCATTTTTGTTTTTTTTGTTTTAAACACATTTTTCCATTGCTTATGCCCACAAAAGATCACCTATCACTATAAATATGGAGGCATGAGCCTTTGCATAAAAGCTTATATGTCATAATCAGATATTTCAAGGGTGATTTGAGACTTTCTATTTTATACAAAAGACCATGTAAGTATTTAAAATTTTTATTCAATTTATTTATCTCTTTAATTTTTAGATTCTTGACATAGAAAAAATATAGAGTTCAATATATTTGAAATTTTTGGGTCTTTCTATTGACAGTAACTTTAATTATATACATAGAATTATTTTTGAGGTTTTAAAATGTTTAATTTTTATATTTTAATTGTTTGAGATTTGAGGACTTTTAAACGACCCTCTAACTGAAGACACCTTTTTAAATCAATGCTTTTGTATTATAAAAAATTAAATTAAAGGGTAAAAATATCATAAAGTTTTCCTGCAGGGTGGCAAAATATTTTAAACTTTTTTAGTATAATATTACTTTTATACTTTTAAAAATAATGCAATACAAGTCTGTTGTTAAATTTGATGGATGTTAACGGTTAAAGTAGCTGTGTTGACCAAATGAATCACATGTGGCACATAGTTTATGGAACTTACATGGCAAAAAATCCTCACAATCGAAAGCCCTAGCCACCACACAACATGGTAATTGTCCTTCTGGATTAGCCCCAACCTCAAAATGCCAAATCAAATCTTGGCAATAGTGAATTCTCCAAATGGCAATGGGCTAGGATCTTTAGTTATGTATGCTGTATACTCTGGACCCCCGGGTGCAGATTTGTCTTTGAAGGACGGAATACGTGCGCTGATTTTACATCATTGCAAGTAACTGCTTTTGGCCACCACACAATATTTCAATGTGAGTAGATGATGGAATCATACTGGACACCACTTACGGGCAACACAAATCGAAGTGACATGGATGGGTCTGTTAGAGAACACTCGGACGGGACATGCGGTGGCGTGATCAGAGACTGCTATGAAAACTCGATAGTCGGTTCCCACAGAAGTCTGAGACCTACTTCGATCATAGAAGCTGAACTTCTTGCTATAAAGACAGGTCTTGAGTTGGCCTAGTAGCTGGCTTGCGAGGAGGTGAAGGTGTATATTGATTTTTGGAAAAATTATATATAACTTTCATAAAACTAATTTATTTATAAATAAATCTCATAAAATTCATAAACCATAACTAGGTCTATTAGACCTGAGTATACTTGAAATTGGAATAAAAAGACAATAATGCCCCTTTTAACTATCAAATATATGAAGTTATAGTTGTAAAAAGTTAAAATTATAATTGTAAATTACTGATAAAGTAATTGTAAATTAATGATTTGATTGATGTAATATATATTTTATAGGGGCAGTATTATCTTTGTAACCTAATTTCAAATTATATTCAAGTCTCAAAAATCTTAATTGTAATTTTTAATTTTTGTGAGATTTATTTATAAATAAGTTTGCTCCACAAAATTTATATGTAATTTTTTTCTTGATTTTTTGAATGCGTTCAATCTTTTGATGAGGGAAAGTAACCCTGATCATCCTCTGCGAGAGTTAATATTGACAACTAGAGATTATATCTATAACAAACTGAATGTGAAATTGTACCGCACTTCAAGGGACGTCATTAGATGTGCTGACTTCATGGCTAAAACGGAAACAGTTCCGAGACCACCTTGGTGCACTCCATTCCTAGAGGATGCGTGGACTTTTTCGTGAAGACCAGGAGCACTTGCTTCCTGTGACTAATTTCTGAGGAATTATCCTCTCGTTTTTTTTTTTTATGTCTTTTACTCTTTTATGTGTTACTTTCTTTAAGCTTTAGCTTGGCGCTTTAATTCAAAAAAAAAAAAAAGAATAAGGACCAATATCGTTAATGAATAGATTTTTTTTTTGAGAAATAATATATTTTTCATTAAAAATTATAAAACTCATAATCATACTGTACCAAATCATTGTTATCAACCACACCTCTGGATCATTTTAATATTAGTTACAAACAACTAAATGATGATCATAAACTCATGCTCTGCCATCCATCCGGTCCATAGTACAAGGTATTAGTAATTATGTTACGGTTCTATAAAACTTAGTTAAGATTTTAATCTTTTTTTTTTTTACCTAGAAAGATTTTAATCTTTTAAAACTTATATATCTTTTCAATTATGTTCTCATTAAATATTCTATATAACTTAATAATGACAATTGAAATTATAATAAATCATTTTTAAAATGAATAATAAATATAAAGATATAGTTACAATTATGTTCTCATTAAATATTCTATATAACTTAATAATGACAATTAAAATTATAATAAATCATTTTTAAAATGAATAATAAATATAAAGATATAGTTAAAAAAATATAAGAAATACTCAATGACTTATATTTTAGATCAAGCATAACTTCAACGAAATGCCTCTTATTAAAAATCTACCTGTTATGAATAAAATATA